GTGTTGACGTGAGCGTTCGAACTCCTCCAGGCCCCGTGACCGCTCAGGACGAGCGCACTGGTAGTCCAGCCGTTGTGAGTCGCAGCCTTATCTTGAAGATGGTGTAGTTGCTCGATGAGAAAACACATGATATGAGGACGCCCAGATTTTATTAGAGAAAAGTCACAGCCAGTAGAATTCCAGGAGTGCTTCGTGCATCTTTAATGGATGCAACAGAAGGTTACAATGACAGCACTGCCAAACGATACACAAACGCTTAGAATGCGAATATCAATCACAACATTCCACGGACCAAACACATACAGGTTGGTAGATACTCTAAAACATGATAATTAGCGAAAACTTTGAGCGAGGCCGCAAGCCGAGTGAACCTTTTTAAAGGCGCTTGTGATGTAATGTAAATTAAAAATAAGCTTGCGCAGTCCGCCTGGACCGGTCGCGGGTGTTTCAGTCCGCTTCATTTGGAAGGGATGAGGGATGGGTGGGGGAGAGGGGAGTCAAAACCTCATTGGGCTTCGCTTCCTGTTAACTGAAGCGGCACTCTAAAACAAGCATCCCTTGGTAAAAGTTACTTAAATTCTCCTCGAAGTCCGAAATGAGTCATTTGGTACCAGACTTTGGCGATCTTAGAGGGGCCACGGCCCGGCACCTCCGCTTTTGGATGCCTCCTCGGGCCAAGCCCGGCCTGATGTCCCCTTCCCCGGATGCCCCCTCGGCCCAGCTCGGCCCGATTCCCCTCCTCGGGATACTCTCGTGGACCCAGCTATCATCCATTCTCGATGCTGACATCCTTGCGATTACTGATTACAAGTGCGTGTGATTTTCAGTAGCGACAAGCCCAACCCTTTAAACGTTGGGCTGTGTGAATTGTCAAACATCTGCATGCAAACTGCATGATCTGGCGAGCTTTGCTGCACCGTTACAGCGTCGCTAAGACTAAATCTCCTCCCCCCCCCCCCCCCCTCCCAGATAAGCATAAGGGAAGTAAAGTTTTACAATATGCGTTGATAATTATCAATTGGTAATTAATTAGCAATTCAAATCGGAAAACCGTCCGACCCATAGGGCCGCAGGGAAGCGGAGAAGACCCACCGGGAAGCTGACATAAACACCTTTTCCGAAATCAATGATTACCTTTTCAGAAACCGGTCTTGATCGCAGGATGCTGTGGCCAGTGCGAGCAAGAGGCCCTCTGACAAGCTCGGTTCCGTCCCTGTCTGTTCCGCAAAGGCGCCTCTGGCTGACTAGGGGCTTCCTGCCAATAAAGCATCCATGTTGGGCAATGGCGGTCCATGCGCGACATGGGGAGCCCGTAATTCGTGCATGGTCCCCGGCTAAAACAAAAGACCTTTAACAACAGTCGTGGACTACGACCCTGTTTCTGCTTGGGAAGGGGTCCCCCTGGGCGCTGACTGACACGGAACCAGCTGTCCGGCTTTGGTGGCTCTCGACTGACATTGAGATCCTCATTGCACCAGACCGACACAAGACGCCCTCACCTCGACATTTGATTGTCCGCACTGAAGGCCAAGATCACTTAACACGGCCTTCAGACAGTCATTCGGGCCCTCCAATCGGGCTCTTGATGATCGGTCTTGTGGGTCACTGGGGACCTACGGAGGTCACGCGTCCCCTGTCCCAGTGGCTCCCTGACGGCAGTGTGCGCGCTTGGCAACTGCACTACGGAGAAATCTGGAGAGGGCATGGGTCCGGCTGAACATGGGCATAGTGTTTATCTGCTCCCTGCTCCTCCCCCCATACTCAGGCTCTCATATAACCCGCCACCCAGCCCATAATCATATGTGTGACCACCGCTGGAGACGCTTAATAGGTCCCGAAGAAGAAGCTCTTCCTACTCCCACACCGCTACGGTCCGGTCTCCAGCAGCTTTCAGGCAGATTGGACTATTACTGTGTTTTTGATCTTTCGATAGCTCTAACGGCGTCACGGACGCGCCCATGGACAACCACTTGAGATGGTCAAAGACTAGCCGACGGCCGAGGTGCCCCCAACCAGAATGTCATGATCCAAGACGAGTGAGACAATCAGTGACACTGAAGCAAGCCACGTCATCTTAGCCCCAAGGAAAAGGGCTTCGATTGTTGGGGGGGGGGGGGCTGGGAAGTTGAAGACATTTTCCCGGTAACTTCCAGAGATCCCTTCCTTGATGCAATTCGGGGCCCCCCGTCAAGAGCCAGTTAGTGTGATTTTGCAGAGGATGAGTGACGACTCCTGACGGTCAGTTCACTTACAGGTTCATAACGACAACTGAGCATCCCTCATTTCACCTTAAGCATCAAGGCACTGTCGAGAATGTGGGTTCCTCCCTCACTGCCTCCATCTGCGGTCAGTACCGCCACGGGCGCGCCAATTCAGCGTACTGTTGGATATCTTGATCCGCATCGTTCTCAACGTTAACCATTAGAGAGCAGAGCCATGTCAGGGCATGTCAAGAGCATCCTATTACTGTAACTGTGTTACTGATCACCACCGACTGAAACCTCCATCATGAGGGTAAATTGTCAGGTTGGGAACGTCAGGGGGGGGGGGGGGAGCAGGGAGGGGTGGACCGTGCCGGGCTGCGACGGGCCGGTCCCCTTAAGCCAGAATAGCTTCGATAGGTGACGTTAAGATTCACACGGCCTGGAGCCTCGCTGGTAATTGAGAACAGGACGCATTGTACATTACGAGAGCTGCGTACGTGACAGTCACACGTACGTGGACTAACTGGGATAGAAACACGACATTAAGAAAAAGAATAAAGAAAGGAAAAGAGAAATGACATGACACAAATAGCAAATGATGGCGTGATGAAAGTTTTGACGCACGTGTTCCTTTCCAAGATTGGTCTATATGTTCTCCGTGGTGACGTCACGAGTGCTGCATATCATGACTGGAAAAAAACACCCATTTGCACATGGCATTGTTTAACGCTTCCCTGCGCAGGCAGATCCCATCGTTATCTGACTGTCAGCTCAGTGACTCAATTCCCATGTTAACAACGCATAGGTCACTGCGTCTGAGGACCTTGTGTAGCATATCGTCGAATAGGAGCTGTGTGGTGGGTTACGTATAGGGGGGGGGGGGTTTAGAATACGCGTGAACGTTCTTATTTACAGTTGTTCCGCATTATATGTCACCCCTTATTAAGAATATCTACAGAAACAGTATGATGTGTACTTGGTGTAAGCGAGAAAGACCATGTAATCCTTTTTCGGCAATGTCAGCCCCTGTGCTATAAATAATGATTGTTCACTCGTGACAATGCGTGCTCAACAATAAGTGAGTATGCACACTTCAAATCTTAAAATTGTTTCGTGTCATCGCTCAACCAGAATCTCCTGACATGCTGAAGGTCTATTTTTTCAGGAAAGGATTATATTTTAGTACTGATGTACGATGCTTCTGTTAAAATTTGAAAGACTCGGACTTCGCGTATCGCGTCTTGGATGAGCAAATCAGGGCCGAGCCCTGCATACAATGCAGTTAGGCCTGCTTGTACCACTGCTAAGTCCATTTGAGCTCTCACCCAGTCAACATACATATCTTATATGTATATATATATATATATATATATATATATATATATATATATATAAGTAGTCTGATATATAATCCGATGAGATCAGGAAAAATCCAAACTATAGACACTATTGAAACAGCGCTCTCCACTTCCAGCGGCTGATTGCACTTGTTGCATGGACAGCTCTGAAATCAGGGTACGTGGCAAGCATAGCATGTTGTGAACACCCTACCCTCGCCACGCAGTTATAATAATACCCGGAATAATGATGGATAGCAACATACGATAATACACGGAAATGTATACCGAAACATTTTGCAGTTCCACGCAACGTCGCGACACGGCTGCCTCTGCTGCCGCCTGACTGGCGAGGCTGGAAATCAGCTGACCTTCAAGCACGAGCCACACGAAAGCGCGGATGTTCCAGCAAGGGAGCCGGCATCCCGGCTACGCCTTGCGTCAGCCGCCCTTCCAGCTCAGCAGTGGCGAGAAAGGAAAGGCTGCCGGCGCGCCAGGCATCACTCTTTCAGAAGCGAAATTACTACCTTCTTCAGTGTGCGTGCGCGTTTGACATGACTTCGGGTCAAGCCGACCTTCAATTTCCGCTTTCGGTGGCCACTCACGGACCTCTTTAGATACGAGTACATACAATATCACCCCAGTGATGTCATCCTATCTCCCTAGTTTATATGGAGCAAACATGAAAACACAGAGTTAAAAATATGTCAGATGATTTTCTAGCTTATCAGAAGGCCAGTTTAAGCAAGCCCTATCACAGCATGCGATTAGTATAGATGCAATGCGTTGACAGCTACGGACAAAGCCGCGCGCAAAAGTCCAAATGAATGGTGCGGTCATGATAGTCCAGATTCAGATGAACACGCAGACATTGCACTCACAGTACTGAAATATTTTGATTGAGATGTGCTCCTCCGTAGAAGGATTCGTAAAAAAGTAGCTCCTAGAGGCTTGCACGACTTTCTCACGGGAGTGGTTGCAATCGACTCTCCTCCCGCAGACTGCCCAAGAGCTGTTATCAGTTGCACAGTGACTTGACACTGACACAGAGTGGCCAATTGCCTTACAAGCTGACTTGATTGGAGACTGGCCTCTAGCCCGCCGGAGGGTCAACCACCAAACGACGTCCTCGAGGGCTGATTCAGCTGAACAATCACGTCAATGAAGATCACCGTCATCAAAGACTGAGGTCGTCGAAGAATGACTGCCAGTCGCTGCATGCTGGCTTCGATGTCGGCTATAGACGGGCCTGACATCAATGACGTCATCAACGGAGCTGACGTCACGGGCAGCCTGATGTGGTGCGTGTCTCCGTCCTTCCACCACGCTGGCCCCGAGGGCCACCTCTTCCTCTCCTGCGGCGTAAGGTGCAAACGAGACTGCCCGCGCACTGCTCGTCACCACTGCAGCATGCCAGACTGGCGTCGCTGGAGCGTCCCCAGAGCGTCCACGGTGCTCATCAGACCAGCGTCTCACGCACTACGCCCTCGGTGGCACGAGCAGTGGCGGTGGAGATCCGCAGAGAGGCCACATCTGCCGGGAGGCCAGCGGTTCAGTCAGCCCTGCGCAAGGTCGCTGTAAACTTACCTGTACAGTCCTACTTCAGTCAGACATTGACGACAATGCTTCCGTTCGCCGTCGTAAATGCGCATTCGAATGGCACTGCTGGCTGAAAAGTTGCAATCACAGTTGCGAGCCATGGTTGGCCAGAGCTTACAATATTCGTGATTTCCTGTTCATGAACTGCTGCTCACAGATTAATTGTAAAAGCGATTTTGCTGGCAGGCAGTTGTCAATGGTACTGATTCATCTTTGTCATTTGCCCACAAATGTTGCGTATATATATATATATATATATATATATATATATATATATATGTCAAGATATGTATGCATATAAATATATAGATATCGTATGTATATGCTATTGAAAAAGCGACCGCCAATTGTACATTACAATTTTTATGATGTATCGTTCGAGGTTCCAGACTTCGGCCTTGCATTGCCGTTAAGGTAAAGGGTGGTTTGTACAAAATCACTCATATATTCGTCAATGTATTCATCTTCTGGCGCTGCAAACCTCATCTCATTGTCGCTGTGACAAGTGTGACGTCGCCGTACAGCTGTGATAAGCGATAAGTGTGAGTTTTTAAGACTGAAAGTTGTGCGTCTCCATCTTTGCAGCATCTTGTTGCAAGAAGACAAGCGTTCCTATGGTTATAGATGAGATAGTATTAATAGCCTTATTCTCCAAAAATAAGCAGGAGAATGGAGAGACAGATGTAGTGATACATGACAGATGATATGATAGATGAGAGATAGATGATAGATGATATGATGATAGACAGATGATGGATAATTATAGTTCAGTTGATACACTGCACTGGTGGACTTTATTTGTCGAGTTTGTCGGAGGTCTTTCCAGAAGGTAAGTTGAATGGTTTTTGTTGCGACAATAAATGATAAGGTCTATTCTACTGTCGTTCTTGCATTTAATGTGGCTCGATATTAATCAGCGTTAAAATTTTCAGCCTATTTGTAGGCAGACGTCAATTAACTATTGTTCGATGAGGTCCGAAATTAGAGTCATCCAACGGAATCACTGCTATGCTTCTTGCGCAGGTTTCATGTCAGATAGGCTTGTCGTGTATGCATACTGTTACAGTCATCAAAAGTCAGAAATCCGCCGAAGAAAAAGAGCTGTCTTCGCCAAATTGCTGTTGCTTTTTTGTTTTGTTTTAAATCGGCATTTTGCAATACCGCCGCTTTAAGTCACACGCACGCACGCATGTACGCACGCACAGTGATGAGAGAGAGAGAGAGAGAGAGAGAGAGAGAGAGAGAGAGAGAGAGAGAGAGAGAGAGAGAGAGAGAGAGAGAGAGAGAGGAGAGAGAGAGAGAGAGAGAGAGAGAGAGAGAGAGAGAGAGAGAGAGAGAGAGAGATATAGAGAGAGAGAGAGAGAGAGAGAGAGAGAGAGAGAGAGAGAGAGAGAGAGAGAGAGAGAGAGGAGAGAGAGACATATATGTGTATATATATATATATATATATATATATATATATATGTCTATATATTATGTTGAAGTCCTTGGCGTAAATGCATTTAATAAGCTCTTTCTGCGCTCACTCTAGTTTTTTAGTGCGATTGCTTGCTCGTCATTGAGACTACATAGTACTCGCCGATTTTTAGCACCTATTCTTCGTCCTGACGCTTCGGAATTACATTCCATTTTCAAAGGTGCACACATACAATATACAAGTGATGAATGTATGATCATATGGTACATTTAGGTGTAACCAGTAGGGTGTAACGATGAGGTATGCTTAAGTCTAGTTCGATCATCAAATTGCATAAAGACTTAATAAGATAATTGTTGTTTTTAGCAGTATAAGAAGTCAAGCGGCAAAACACGTGCTGAAAAGTAAGGCACACCACCTAAGGATAGTATCTATCGTCAATAAATGAGGTGAACGGCGACCGAGGGGTTGGTTTGCCTGTTAAGTAAGGTAAGTTATCTAAGTTAACGTCGACCCGGAGTAACGGAATCGACTCATTGGGGAAAGTGCCATCAGAAAAAACAACTCTAAAGCAAGACCCTGACCAAAGAACTCAGAGCAGCCACGAAAGCCCTTAGCTGAAACGACGAGATCACGATAAGGAGAGCCGATTCAACATTCTCATACGTAATTGTCGACAAGTCCGATTACCAAAACAAAATCAACGGAATACTTTCAAATGAATCTAATTTTGAATATATCAGACGCGACACTACATCCAGCTTCAAAACCAAGGTTGAAGAACTTGATCTACTGCACCAATGCTGTCAGGAATGGTGTCCATTTCCAGAATTTTTTTGGAGAATATCAGCCCGGCTACAGCTATGGCAATTTTAAAATTCACAAAACAGGAAACTTGCTACGCCCGATCATTTCACAGTGACCAACGCCACCCTACCAACTGACCAAGCAACTCAACTGCCTCATCGCACCGTGCACTCCTGTGAAACATGGCCTAAAGTCAATGGACGAGGTTTCGGACATCCTAAAAAGCACGCAACCTTCTGGCTTATTAGCACCACCAGGCGTCGAGAGTTTATTTACGAACGTTCCGGTAGAAACGTTCGGGTACAAAGAGACGATAAAAATCGTACTTGAAGACACTTATCAC